ACTATGTAAAATACTTATGTCAAGCTCCAAATTCTTTTAATCGATAAAACACCGTCCTTAAATCCTTTTAATTTGATACCCTCATTTCAAAAACCGTTAAGTAATCAATTCCCCACTTCTCAAAAAGCCAAAAAATAGTTAACTACTCTCAGTTCTTAAGGTTCACTCTTATTTACTCAACCAGACCATAAATTTTTCTCAGTACATTTTTTTCTCAGCTGGACTGTTCATCCAACCCAATAACTTTTCTCCAGGTTTTTTTTTGGAAGAAAGTCGACATGTGGTAGCATTTTTCAGGACTTTAGTTTGACCCCTAGTACTTTAGACCAGGTTCTCACTTTCGCATCTTTTAATACCGATTTCGCATTCCACACCTAGACTTCACTAATTTACCTAGTTAAAGCAGCAGATATGTTAATAATACATCCTCTGTATCTTCTACTGCCCGAACAGACCGTTAAATCACCTCGCCTTCATAAGCGCTGTTATCTAGTACCAATTCTGCAACCAACGCAACTCAATAAGCAGCGCCTAATGAGCTCTTGCATTACAGCACTTGCATCCCAGCCGTTTTGAAAACTTTCAACGCTTCTGTACCCTTTCTGACCCTATTTTCGCACAGCAAATTTGCTCCGCAACTACAAAAAACCACTACTTGTGGAAAATTTAGAAATCTCAGGATGTAAAATGCACCAACAATTGAAGGCAGAGATTGAAGTTTTTGATGGAAATTGGCAGTTTTATTAAATACTCTAAACATTGAACCAATTCCTTTTGGAACAATATAAGAGAACAGTCCGCAAAATAAAAAATACTAAACTTCTAAATGCTCTTATCCACTGCGACAAGAGCAACACGGCCAAAGGGAATCTTGGGAACAATCACTAAAAACATTAATTTACTTGCAACTGCTCCGTTATTCTTTTGCGAAGAATAGGAATATTCAAAACCCTACCTGCAAACACTTAAGAAGGTGGAAAAAAATTAAAAACAACTCCAAACATTTTACAGCAATCTAAGTCACATAACCTACTCGCAAAAACCAAGGCTCACAAAACGTAAAAATGATAGTTTAACAGAATTCCAGCTCCTCTTGACGCTGCCTAGGTCTCTTTCAATGTCAAGTGCCTCAGCAATTTTAGCTTCGTTTTACTTCAAGAATTTAGGTCACCCAATATCAAGTATAAGAGAAAGGATCTCAAGCGCTTTTCAACTTAACTGGTAAATATAAAAAACTGAAATACAACTTACTGGGTAAACATTCAAAAACTTTCGCAAGTCATTGACTCTATCAGCTTCAGCAGCCTGAAATGTTTTAAATAAACAATTATAAAAAGAGAACATAAGGCCTAAGTCTGAATGAAGTACGCACGGAGGCCCGCCTTTCGCAAAACTAGATCCAAATTATCCTAATTATGGAAATTTCAAATTACTTTACAAGAAAAAACCTGATACCTCAAAAAAAATATCCGAAAAGAAATTTCGGGAAAAAATAATTGAATGTAAACCAACATCAGCAGAAAAAACACGCACACCCACTCACTGTAAAATTAAACTAAAAAAACAATTGTGAGATCTTCAGAAGTTTAAAAATATTTCATAAAAACAAAGGTAGGCAACTTTCGAAACAGAAAAGCCATCAGGGAGAGGTGTAAACCCTCTCTGCTATCTGCTTGCTCCCTTATCTTTTCCAACGCAAAGCTTTTAATCACGCAAACTTGAAAGCAAACAAGAAAGTTCTCCACTGCTTTGTCTCCGTTAAAATAATTTATTTCTGCACCACAAAAATTCTCTTACTTCATCTATTTATTACGCTTTAATCTAGTTCTCAATACTTTAGTTCTTTCATTTGCCTTTCACTAATCCTTAATTCTTTCACTTCAGATAAACGATTTGTTTAACATCTTCAACTTGACCGCCTGCGACTTTCTTTTCAACCAACAATCCATAGCTCCAAAACTGGAACTTTTGAAAAAAAAAAATTAGTTTCTATTTCAGCTCTACGCCCAACGTACTTGAAAGCCGCTTATTACTAGTTCTCACCTGTCTCTTAACCCGATGAACAGCCAAAGCATCATGATCCCGTCCGTCAGCGAACACGAAAACCATCACCGAACCTGAATCAAGTACTGCAATGTCCAAAAGCTTCATAAGTAAAATAAACAGCACTGAGTTCAGCAGTGTCAACTTATCATTTAGATATAAGGACTTAGAATCAACTGGGCTTGAAGATGACTGAAATTAAGAAAACAAAAGCTATGAAAAGGAAGCTTGAAAGCACGCACCCACAAAAACAAACAGTAGAGAAGTTGAGACCTTCATAACTGAGGATTACGAATCAAAATTTTTCCTGAAAGTTCTCAACACATCCACGCAAATTAAATATCTGCATATCTGTCAAGACGTTCACGCGGAGAACAAAGACATACTTTTACAAATCCTCTACCTTCAAACAAACAAGAATGCGCAAAAAAGAGCTCAAGGACTTAACCTAAGGCATGCTTTTTCAAAAAAGAAAGCTAGATATGGGAAACAAACAAGTAAATGCTCCAAACTCTCCTTTAGCTTATGAGCGACATTAACTGCTCAACTATTTCTAAGATCAATGCTCCTGGAATTTCTTGAACCAGCAGGACAAAAAATGCTTGAAAATAAAAACATTAAAACCCGAAAAAAAAGCAGCACATCGGTGGCATGGCAACACGGTACAGGCAAAAAAATATGCCACGATTTAGGCAAAAAACATTTTATTTACAAAGTAAAACAAATATTTCCTAAAACGAGATCCAGCGTATAAACTGTCCAAAAAGTTTCAGTCTACCACATTGCCCGCTGAACGCCGCTCAACTGACCGTGATCAGCAAGATCTCTGAAAAAAAAAAATCCTCTAATAGTTTAGACGAAATGAGACACATACCGTACTAGATTTACTCGCAAGACGCAAACTCAGTGAATAAAAGCCATCAAAAAATCGCAGAAAAATTAGAACGCAAGGCTGGTAGAACTAACAGTACGTGAACGATAAAAAGAAGTGGCTAGCGACACTTCATGACAAATGCAGTTCAAACGCAAAAGTTAAGCATAAAAAAAGTAAAAAATCTCCAAAAAATTTTTTGCTTTTGAAGAATTTTGACCTGAACAGATGGCGACTCAGTCTGAAGCGCTTTATTTTGCCTCTGCGTTTACCGCTAAATTGACACATATTCAAAACCAGCTTTGGACGAGAATCCTTCGGCAATTTATGTAACTTCTCTGCACACTCATCTCGAATGGCCTGTGGTAAAATCGTATTACATTTCAACGCTTTCAGTCTCATTCTCTCTGGACCGCATTGTTCGACCGAGTGTCTACGTCTCACATCTCGGAGCATTCTCCAAGTTGCCCAAAATGTCATCCTTTTCCCTTCTTTCCACCACTCACGTTCGACATAATACGGATACTGGTCAAACCTAAAAAAATTTATTTGAAAAACCAATAAAAACTCACAGCACACACGAAATCCCATATCCCTACAAAAAAA